GAGGTCGAGAAGGTATAGGGAGCTGGCAAACAGCAGTCCAGAGTCAGCAGCTAAAATGAAGCTTTACTCAGTTATTATCTGCTTTTTCTGCACAGAATCTAAGATCCCAAATGCAGATAACGTAGCATGATATTTGTTAATACGTAAAATAAAATCATACAGAAAGGTAACAGAAGCCAAAGAGAAGATGACAACTGCCGTTTGTGTATGCAAGCAATCCCCATGCTCACCAACTCCAACTTATCAGTTTCTGGAAGGATAAACCCCAACATCAGGCACCTACTTGCTCAAGTGGATGGGATAATTAGTGTAAAATGACAGGGTTGAGGACCTTCCAAAAGGAACACGCACTTGATTATCAGACCACAGCAAAACTCCCTGGCCACTGGGTCAGGCTGCTACAAAAATAACAGCATCCACCAGAAGAACTTGTAAAAACAAGCATAAAGTCACCATTAAGTTACTGTTCAAGAAATCTTTTTAAAAGGAAGAGATGAAACAAGGAGACTTATAAAGAAGTACATTTATTTTTCTTTACAGCAAATACCATAAATAGAGCTGAAACAATTTTCACTGTGTGCAAAATACAGAATTTCCATGTGAAAATTTAAATACAGCATTAAAAACTATTTAATAAAAATATTCCATTAAGATTATAAAGTAAAGCGAAGACAGAAGATTTAGGAAGAGAAGGACAGAATCCTCACTGGCCAGGAAGAGCAAGGAAGACTCTGTAACAGAGGGTAGAAAAAAAAAAAAAGCACAGCAATGGAACGTGGTTTGAAATGGCAGACCTTTATGTCATGACCTTCATCTCAAAGCATGCTGAACTTAGCAATAGAACACGATAGTCCTGCAATTCATAGGAAGGTGTCTCCTAACCATTTTCCAGGAAGTGATGCTTAGAATACAGAGAGGTTTTGTACGGGCCCAGCAAGGGAAACTTTGAAAGCCATCAAGACAATTTAGCATGCCCACACAAATCCATACTATTGTTTAGTCATGCAAACATACAGGTCAGCAAATAAGGACCCTGCAGTTCTTCTTCATTCCCAATTGAGTGTGTGAAATGGGACAAGTAGCACAGCATGTTTGCCCCCCCCTCTGCAAGTTGCTGCTTAGATCTATTCCCAGTCCCCATCCCCTTTGAAGGGCATTCTCAGCAAGTAAAGCTGTGTCATGACCATATCAACCTAAGCTCAGGGCACTTGCTGGTCAGGCTGAGCCCTTGTTTCTTCTTCTGATTCATTTCCATTTTAGATTACACAGACTGGAACTTATATGAAAAATACATACAAAGTAATTGCTCTAATTTTTCATGGAGAATATTGGCAACTTCTCATGCAGCAAGACAAACCCATTAATCAGAGGGCAAAATGGGGCCTTGTTAGAGCTGGTATTAGTTAACAAAACAACTCAAACCAAAACACTCTGGTTATAAAAATTTGGCATTTAGACATATTAAGGAGTAAAAAACAGCACACATCTATTTCTGTTAGGCCTGCCTAGTATGTTACTTGGGATGGAAGATCGGAACTTGTGTTGCTCTGGCTATTTTTTCCAACAGAATCCTTTTGTAAAATAATTTTCCTCTATGAAAGCAAAGAAACGCTTAGAAAGAGCACTCAAATGTTGGTTGCTCATTGAATATTTCACCTCAGTGAAAATTTGCTCACTGAATATGTGAGTGCAAAAGAAATAGGTGCTCACGCTACCCAGGAGAATCACCTGGCTTTTATTGTCACCTTATTTTAAAATAACCTTGAAAGAAATAAGAAATAGTTCTTTCAAGGATCAATTTATTTACATGCCTAACTTACCTGGAAGACAGAAGGAAAGTAAGTGTACATGCACAGACACAGAAGGAAAAACATTCTCTACATGAGAGAGAGAGCAGACATAACCTTTTACAGAACTATGAACTCAGACTCAGCAACAGGTTAAATGATCATGCCAAAGCTCACATCCATTAATATACCAGACACAGTTTGCTCCAAAATGGTATTAAAAAATAAAATAAAACACAAAATCAATGCAGTGAAATGCTGTCAAACAACAGTATTAGTCACACAGTTTTGGAACTGGCAAGCAGAAAAATCACCTGACAGCATAAAGGCTTCAGCCAGTGAGCGGGTGCAACACCGGAATGATGAACTGGACTAACAGTAATGAGGGAGATTGACAAAGAGAGCACAGGAAAAAAAAAAAACAAAACACAGAACTTAGCTTGGTTATATAGAAGAGCATCAGTAAGTTCACAAAGAAGAAAATTGGCCAAAATGAAACTGCCTTTCTTTCATTAAATCATGAACAAGGACAAATAAGTATTAATCTTATTATCAGAGTATTCAGATAAAGAGTTAAAAAAAACCCAAACAAATAGCAGTTTGATTATCGGATTGATACCAATAAACAACCTTCCCAACAACCCCCACAATCCAGAATATGTGGTATAATTAGGATCCTTCAGGAAAATGTTCTTTATTTTGTATTTTTTTTTTCCCCCCTCCCTGAAGTCTTTTGTGAGAATTTAGGGATTTTTCTCCCTATTATATAAACCTATATAACATCATTACTGTCTTTTTTGTAAAGAGAAAATGCTTTCTTCTAGTAAGACTCACTTCATTTAAACTCATAGGTTAACACAGATTTCCAAGTTTCTTACTGTGTCACCATTTTCTGTAAGTTCACCATTACACTCTGCTGAAAAGCAGAACATTTTCTTGTAGTGAACAGCAAAAGAAAACATCAGAAAAAATGTATTCTGCCAGACCATGCTGTTGACAAACTGAAATTAAAATTGAGAATGAGTCTAACTTTAAAACTTTACCATTTATCAGTTTGCTGTGTTGCAGGAGTAACATGGTAAATTATACAGCAGATTTTTTTCCATTTAGAGTGAACCAACAACTGGCATTAGTAAATAATTTAAAAAGTGTAGGCTGTTCCAAAGTAGATTTAAATGCTATGAAAGAGATGGTCGCAGCTTACCATGTTGTTATAATGGCCCATGTGTCCAGGCAATGTTCTAGCAAAGCTTTGCTAAATGCACATTTGAGCATTAATGGCAATTTATTTCAACCAAATGCTACCTTACACCTAAACAAATTTTTCAAGCATTTTTTTTTCCATGTTCTATGCATACTCTTCACAATTTCTCCCCAGAATATATAAGCACTATAAAATGGGAAAAGCTTTATCCTTGTAGTTGAGAAATTACACCAAAATATCTACAGGAAAAACCCAGTTTGTCATTTATTTTAAACAGAACACGTATTTCCTTTTAACATCTAAGAGACAAGACAACTTTAAATTGTCTTTGCCCACATCCACTTAAAGAAAAAAAAAAAACCACCCAGTCCGTAAGAAGCACAGTTTTTTGGGACTACTAAAAAGTCATCCTCAAACTTTGGTACAAATTGAACATAAAATTATTTCCTATTACTTACATCATGTTACGTTGGTTGAAAAAATGTTACAGATACTTTTCATTTTAGGCTATGCATATTGCCATATTCATTTGCTTATCTATTTCTTGAGTAACATCTTAATTAAATATTTAAGGACTATTTAGAGGCAGGGAGCATGCTTACCTCACTGGCTAGCTAGGCTGAGAAAGCAATCAGAATTTTGGATGTTCTCACTGTCTCCTTGTTGTTTAATAGCCCTACTTAACTTGCTCCTGACAGCTTTGGATAAAAGTAGACCTTGATGAGAAACACCAGAAAAATTTGTTTCACAGCTGCTCCAGATAACAGGATTTCATCTATTTGCTCTCAGCTTTACATATTGAAAAGAATGAAGTACCTGATTACAAAGCAATATCCTTAGAATAAATTTATAGTTTTTTGTTGCTTGTTCTAAACTTGTATTCTTAAAAAATTCCAAACATAATAGGACCAGTGCCTCTCTGGAGGCAAAATAGTTGTGAGTTCAGTAACATATGAATGCTCCACAACTCAACATTCATTGAAACAGCTGCCTAATAAAGAAGCCTTGAATTGAGGAATAACTCACATCTAATAATACTAGAAGTTCCTTTGATGTGTGTTTTCAATCAGGCCTTCACTCAGCTCAGATCTGCTCTTCGGACTTATTTCACAATGTTAAATAAATTAGTATTACAGATTATACCCACTATCAGCAGAGGGTATGAAATGTAAAAGGCATGACTAGGAGCAATATGAATTTAACACATGATTTTTTTTTTGAAATGTCATGCAAGTTATAAACCTCATAACCCAGAGAGAAGATGAAAGCAAGAAAAAAAGGGATGCGCCATATTCAGGTTTCAAAACCCAGTTATTTGTCATAAATATTCCCCAAACATCTGAAAGAACAAAAGCTCTTTCTTTGTCCAACAACAACCACAAAGCAGAGGGGAAGAAGGCTTTTAAAATGTACCTGTCCCCAGTGGTCTGATCCCAAACAGGACAAAACAAAAAAATTACAAAATACCCTTCATCTGTCTCCGTGTTTTGGAAATGAGTCTGGACATCGCCCTTCATATTTTAACATACAGTACATTTTACACTGAAAATTTTGATTGCACCTAGTTTGTATCAGAAGGAATATATTGTTCATTTAAGTCTCACAATAAATTGCAAGTAAAAAAACAAAATCAAAAGAACAACAAAAAGCCTCAGGAAAATACCAAGGCTGCTCATTTTGAAAATCTGAAAGGCACAATTGAGGCAAGATACATAGAAAAATTTAAACCCTACAGAATTTTTTTGCCCATTCAAGCACATTTTCAAGGGATAGCTCTGCTTCCCGGTACATATGAGTAAGTACCTCTAGAAGAGCACAGAGAAATGGCACACCAAGGCTCAAGAGTTCATACAAGTAGGTATAGTTATATGCGTTGTCCCTGAAATGAACATTGGTAGCGTGCAGAAAACCATGCATCCAGTTAGAGAGGCGTCTGGGAATGTCAAGCAGATCCCTTGTCACCCGAAGGGGCCAGCTTAGAGTGCGCCTAAAGAAGGAAGTCAGGATACCTGGGGACCTGTCCTCTGGACTGCTAGCAGTAGTTAAAGTGCTGTCTGTGGTGGTCTCTGTAGCTCTGAGTTCTTCTTTCTTCCAGGCTTCTGTTGCCTCCTTGTAAAAAGCATGAAAATTTATTAACTATACTTCTAAAATAAGTATAAAGTTTTTGTTAGTTCTTAAGTTTTTAGATACATATATTCACTTCCAACTGTTCTTAAGTTCAATTTCATAGATGAAGAGCTCATTTCCACATAAAACCAGATACACATACACATACTCTGCTCTAGACAAAGCTGCTGCAATATTTTCTGCATTAATGATATAACCAATACGTACCTTGCACTGGACCTGTAACGTTGCTCTTCTCTTTCGGTGTTTATTACTGATTTTGCAGTGTGTAAAATGAGGTTTACAGTAAAATTTACCTAGAAGAGAAAAAGTAAGTTATATGACCTTTTATCTTTACACCTACCAATGAGAACCCCGCCATTTTGTGTATTAAAAAAAAAAAAATATCAAGGTGATTAATGGTTTGGCAGCAAAAGAAATGGAAATCATCTACTGGTTCTGCATTGCCCACAGCTTTACAGAATCATAAAATCATTTTAGTTAGAAGGGACCCTTAAAGGCAATCTAGTCCAACTCCCCTACAATAGAAAGGGGCATCTACAGCTTGATCAGGTTGCTCAGAGCCCCATCCAGCCTGGCCTTGGATGTTTCCCAGTATGGGACATCCATCAGCTCTTTGGACAACCTGTTCCAGTGCCTTATCATCCGTATCATAAAAAACTTCTTCCTTACATTTAATCTAAATCTCCTTCCACTTAAAGTTAAAATTTAATTTCCCCTTGTCCTGTCACAACAGATCCTGATAAAGACTCAGTCCCCTTCTTTCTTACAGCCCCCTTTTAGATATCAAAAGGCTGTCAAGGTCTCCCCAGAGCCTTCTCTTCTCCAGGCTAAACAGCCCCAGTTCTCCTTCAAGGACAGGCTTGTGGTCTAGCAGGTCCATGCCTCTCCTGTACTGAGGTCTCCAGAAGTGAGGCCTCACCAGTGCAAAGCAGAGGGGCAGGATCACCTCCTTCACCCTGCTGGTCATGCTTCTTTTGATGCAGCACAGGATATAGCTGGCTTTTTGGGCTGCAAGTGTACATTGCTGGCTCATATCCAGCTTGCAATCCACCAGCAACGCCAAAATCCTTTACGCTGGGGCTGAGTTCTATCCTTACATCCTCCAGCTTGTACTGATAGTAGGGAGTTGCCTTGACTAGGTGCTTTGATTGGGTTTCTTTTACAGCATGTAGATTTGCACATTCATTAAATAAGGTAAGGCCTTAAATTAATCTAACACACATATTTAAGATTAATAAACAGCAGAAAAAACAAGATTTTACAAATACCAAGTCACAAACAAATGCAATATATCAAGCAGCAAAAAGCCAAATAATCTGCTAAAAATCTTTGCAGAGGACTCTCTAGACTGCAGAAGATCTATCTTTGGCCTTGAGACTTTAATTCTTTTGTAAGAGGAGATCAAGTCAGTACTCAGATACATTGCTATTTGGAAATAGCAAGAGAATTTTTATATAGTTTAATAACTTCCACCTGAACAGAAAAAAAACCAAACCAAGCAAACAAAACAACATATAATCTCCTGGCCCCAAGCCTCAGGCTGTAGGTGGCATCAACAGCCCAAGATCTGAACATCCCATTCTACAACTGACTGCAATAAAGGGCATGCTGCTTGGCCAGTACCACTGGTTTCACCTCATGAGCTACTACCTATTGAAAGAAAGAATACCCCCCACATATAAATTTACCTCTGCTCTGACTTGTCTTTGTAGATCACTTTACTTAAAGGCTAGTTATCAGTGTCAGACAAGGATAATTCTGTATTGTTGGCAGAGAAAAAAGGCACCTTTCCATTCCCACCCCATTTCTGACCTGTGATTGGACAAACTGTAGTTTTGTCACTTGATTTGTTTTCCAGTGATGATTTCTTCATTTAAAGTTCAGATATGTCTGAATTGGCTTCTTTTGAAAGAAGTGTGAGGACTCAAAGATCAACATGGACACAAAGAACATCCTCGGCAGCCCTCCTCCTGACTGAGCTACTCTACAAGGTCTTTTCCTCTGGTTCCATTAAAAGCATCAATATTCAGACATATAAATATTCTTAAATAGCTTCCGTGTTACCTTCTTCAACATCAAAGGCATAAATTCCTAAACGGAGAGTTGTAGAACATATTTCACACTTGAAGCACTCCCTGTGAAAGAAGTGGCCTTCTGCACTCAGCCGCTCCATAACATAGACCCGTTTTTTGCAGAAATAACAAATGTCACTCCCCCCAATAGACTGAGGAAATTCTTTTCGCAGAGATCCCTGTTAAAAGATAAGAATAGAAACAGATATGAAGCCCTTACAGGACACCTAGGTATAAATTCTTATTGAAGCAAGCAATTGCTTGAAGTTTTACACAGCCATTTCTCCACACACAATTAAAAAATGTATCAGTCAGCTTTTTTATTACTCATAGGCTGCAAGGTTTAAAAAGCAACTCATAAATCAGACATCATGAGACTCAAAAGGATGAGCTGTGGCTTGACTTGCACCCAGCTTCCCCCCTTCAGCTCATGGGCACTTCACATTTGCTCAAGTATAAGGGCAGCACCAGGCCAATGCCCTGTGCTGATTCAGGCACTTGCAATCATAGCTGCAGATAACAGTGTTTCTCAGATGAGGGTGAAGGCAGACCTTGCCAGCCTTGAACACATCTGGAGCTACGCAAACCCTGAAGACTACGTTCATCTCAGTAGTACTGAGGTCACACTCAGCTCGTAACAGCTCCTGTCCCTAAAGAAAATTAGACTTGTGCTTTAAGTTAAAGGAAGAAAAGCCAGCAGTTGGACGTGGTGGTTCAAACACCAGTATCAGCATCACCCACAAATGTTCTTCCCTTCTCAGCTGCATTTCTGCCTGTGCAAACAGCCCAAGCTGGGGCTTGGTTTGTTTAAAAATCAGTTTCATTCCTAACACGGACATTCAGCATTCTTTAAATTCATTGGATTTTAAATTAAGACTCATACTAACAACACAGATATTTTGGAACTTTTTGTTGAATTTGGCCAGTTAACTACATTTTTTTTCTAACTGTCATAAATTCTATGTTCTGTATCTACATACAAAGGCACAGAAAAATGAATTATAAATAGAACAACTGATATCCCCTCACTCATTGCAGGCAGGCATGAAGAGGTTACTTTGCTTCACTGTGTTGTTCTTAGTTATAGGTCAGCACACATGAGCATCCATCCCTGCTCTTCTACTGCTGCTATCATCTCCCCATCCTCTCCTCACGATGTGAGGGTACCATGCTTGAGACAGAGGAGCTGCAGGCCTGGCAGAGCCCACTCAGGTTCAGACACCAGCACGCAGTCCACAGAACTCATCTTTAACTTGCCAGCAAAAGAAGGTTTCAGAACATTTTTTCAATGTTAAGCTTAAGTCACAATTGATACAGGCACGAGCCACACTCTCGTGCTTAACAGCTGAGAATCCTAAATAAAATCTGCTGTTAGTAATCTGTTGTGCTGCGCTGAATCATTTTGGACTGTAAACCACATGAAACCTTCCAGACGAATAACCATGCAAATAGAAAAGTATAGAAATGCATTTTTAAAAATACAATGTTAACGGAACAGGTCAGATAGTCACAGTGAAGCAGAAGCAATTAGAGTGCAGCGCTGGCTAATTAGTCAGCATCAACACCACAACACCCCAGACTTAGCTTCCCGATACCTGGCATCTCTGAGCACTGGAGACAGGATGTGGAGAACAGGGAGTGGGGAAAGAACCTGTATCTCTGTCCAAAGACTCGTTCTGAATTCAAACAGGATTGTGTCAGAGTTTAAAAATAGCTTTCTTCAAAATGAAGCACGGTGATTCAGCATTTGCACGTTAAAAATAATTGCACAAACGTGTACTGTACCAAAATTTTCTTTAGACGCCACCTTGATTAATAACCATTTTCTATTACTAATTGTACCAATAATTACATTTAATAAAAGCCTCCTGAAGTTTTATTTCATGCAGACAAGTAATAAAAGTATAAGTAGAAGACACTGTGAGCAATGCTTCCAGCATACCCACATTATCAGCGCACACTGCCAACGTGCACTCGATTCCTCAGTAAGCATTAGGCTAATATCTTTCATAACGCTTAAGGTGCTCCAGAATTAAGGTGTTAAGTCAGGAGGATACTCTGGAAAACACTGCTTTTAAGTAAAGTTGTTTCTTTGTGAGTTTAGTCTTACCAGCTCAAGGGGGAGAATTTGCGACTTGGGTCTGTGATCATTCACATACAGATTGACAAGAACTTCAGCCATAGCTCCAATTGCACGTGAGACCTTTCCTACAGTCATCTAACCAGAAAAGGGGAAGAGATGAAGAATTGAAGGAAGAGCTTTAGTTACTTGAGAATTTAGTAAGAAAAAGATGAGAATGACTTGAAAACATGCAAATGAATGAAAGCGATGATAAAGACAGGCTCTGAGAAAAAGCAGAGAAAAAGTACAGCAGAGCACAAGCACACTCATGCATGAACAGCACGGTCCAGCTGGTGGCCACAAGAGGCTCCCAGGCAGACCACACACTTCTCTCCCTATGGATGATGGAGAAATAGCTGCTTGAGCAAATGCTGCTCCTGCAGCACAAGGCCTCCTGTTGGGTCAGCAAAAGGCACAGAGCAGCTGAGCTGAACTAGGGAAGGACTGTTGTGATAAATTAAATACAAACAAACAAAAAAAAACACTGCCACTTTGACTTTTTAGCAGTTGGTGTTACAATTCAGAAAGGAAGGTGGTGACTAAACTTCACACTAACTGTCCTCAAAACTGGTATTTCAGGAAACATTCTACGAAAACCTCCTAGAAGTCTCGCACAAATTCCTCTCTGAGCATCAACAGTGTGTTCCTTTCTCACTCTCTCCAATGACTTTTAGATGTGGCAGGTGGGTAGGTAGGTATTCTAGTTCTCTCTTCATGAGGAACAGACTGCAAAGACTTCATAGATTTACATGAAGGTTTGCTACCCAAATTCACGTTGCCACTAGTGATTTTACCCATAACCTCTCTGGAAACCCAAAGGCTGCAAGAACCATTCTGTTTGGCCAGGGATCTGATGCTCTTCTTCTGAAGCCAGGATATTTTTCTTCCTAGAAGATCCCTGATCTTGCACTTTAAGTTCCACTTGCTTCTTCACTGAGCCCAGACTTTAACTGCCATGTTTCTCAGTGAAATTATTTTCTACTGACATCGTACCATGTCTTGCTAATGGTAGGGTTTAAAAAAAAATAATCAAAAAGTTACTCTGAAGAGAAGGAAAACAATGGTTTTAAATTTCTATCAAGTTTAAAAGCAACTCTAATGCACTGTGGGTGTCTTTTCAAAAATTACTATGAATAAAAATATTCCTGCTAATAAAAAAAAAAGAAAATCAAGTGCAGGAGCTTGAGAACATGCCCAGCTCCTTACAGTCTCCCTTATCTTTTGAGTGTTGTATCTTAATTTGTTTTAACATCCAAGCAGACATAAAATATGTATGCGAAGACAAAGATCATTCAAAAGATCATTCTTTGCCATTTGTTTTTGTTTAGTATAAAAATACAACAGAATTATTTAATATCTGCATGATTTTTTTTGAGTAATAACAATTTTGGGGTTAAAAAAAACGCTTTCAAAGTCTGCTGAAACACATTTTACCTTGAAATAGCAAAATGCTGGAGCAACCAGTTAAACAATAATGCTATGCTTAGAGCACAAGTACTTGAATTTCAGGAAAAGTATCCCTCAGCCTGAACTACACCTTGCAATTCATCAGATGGGTTGATTTCTGTTCTCCACCCTTTGGAGCAATTTGTGCCACCATTAAGGGAGTCAAAACAAGGAAATTACATGTTTATATATACTTTAAAAAGTGTTATTAAAAGGAAACATTTGTGTAATTTAGGTGAAGTTCATATCCCATGTAAAAACAAATGGGATTTCCATCTAATCTAGCAATCAAAAGTTGACCACTCTTGTCTCATAATCAACCACCACCAACACAGAATTGTGGCTGCTGACTAGGAAGGAGGGCAGGAAGCAAACAGATTTGAAACTAATGACATCTCACTGAGTCTGGTTAACAAGGACACATTATGGGGAAAAGATCACTATTGGTTCTCCTTACCCAATTAGGAAGGTGGGTAAGTAAAAGGAGACAAATTTGCAACAGCCTCAGTACAGCACCTTTCAAATATTATTCAAACATGAAATAAAAACAGCAGGATGAGAATCCATAGGGGCAGCCCTGTGAGCATCTGCCATGAGAAGAAACCCACAGCAAAGGAAAGGTCAGGGAGAACGAGAGCAGTGCTGCTCTGTAATGCTCATTAGTGATAACAGTACAACCACCAAGTCACCCTGTGTCTTCTCTAAACCTCATTCAGGTTAGGAACAGGGACTTTGATGACAATGCCTCCCCTTCATAACGCTCACTGCAGAAGAAAGGGTCTGACCTCAAATCTGCATACCAGAGGCATACTCCTTTAGAAAACATCAGCTTTTATACAGCTTAGCTTTCTTCAACAGCACACTGCTAAGTTACCCCAGAAGCTCGGATGCTAATGGACATAATAGGTTTGTATTTCACTCATGCACTTACTACTCTTGAGAACAGTGATGTGCACGATGCTGTACACACGCAAACAATTTTGTAGTGCTGAGGCCACAATCAATATAACAAAAGGCTATCGCTCAAAACTCAGACACGTTATTCCTAGTAGAGCTTTAAATACTTTGTTGTCCTGGAAAATAATCTTAAGAGTTATCTTACATGGGGAATTTCAGGAAACACTTCAAAATCCTAAAAGTGTATGACTTACTAGGAGTGCTGACCTCTCAGTGACAGGTTACCAAAGCTTTTTAGCAGGTTGATCAGGCTGGTTGTCAGTGTGAGAAGAGAAGGCTTCCTCCTGTATGTCCCTGTGCTATTATTTATTACACCAGAGCCAACCAACTAGTAAACAAACCTCTTTCATAAAATAAATATTGTATGCTTCTGAAAGCAGAAAACATGTTTCCCTTTTATTGCTACAAATCCTTAATCATTTTCTTGGACTTATTTACTCTGAAGGTGATTTATTTTTTTTATTGCATCTGCTACATATATTTTGCCTCTGAGATAAACAGCATTTGAATAATAAGTTACTCTGCGTAGGAAACACCCAAGCCCTGTTTACTGCTCATAATTAGAGATGTCACTGAAGGGAAGCAGTTGATACAAACTCGGCAGGCAGCAAAGCTTCCTGATTGCAATGTGTTCATAGTTCTTATGATGTGCTG